GTGTGTGTGTGTGTGTGTGTGTGTGTGTGTGTGTGTGTGTGTGTGTGTGTGTGTGTGTGTGGCTTGAAAAACTGCGTCGAATGCTGCCAACCGCGTGAAAATCGGTTTATTCATTAAGAAGTTATTGCGGTTTAAAAATTCAAAAAATAGTGTCTTATCAAATCTCTATCAGACTTTTGAGCTCGAAGAGCTCAAAAGCATAGGAAAGCAATTTCTGTGAGCTCGGAGAGCTCAAAATAACCCATAAACTGTATTTTTGAGCTCGAAGAGTTCAAAAACGCCATTGGTGCAATTTTAAGCGCCTAAGTATGGAATTAGCGGGAAGTTGCAGGGATGGCCTTCAGGGTCAACCGTTTTCCTAATTTTTTTTTAAGCAATAAGTGACAAAAATTTTTTATAGTTTCAAGAAAATTTTCTTGTCTTGATTTGAAATAATTTAGCCTCTTGTTTTAATAAAAGTATATTTTAACTCAAGTACTCAATATCTTGTCTCAAGAAAATTTAGATCTTGGTCTGAATAATTTTCGGATAGCTCAAGTTCAATTTTTTTTTAATCCCATGAAAATTGAATCATAAATTTCGAAAATATAATGGATCGTTGAATAAAGTTCATTAATTTATTTATGTATACTGAAGTAGATTCTTGAACATTTCATAATTGAGGAAACAATCCTGTTCTCCTCTAGGATCGAACCTGTGACCGTCGAATGGTTAAATGGTGTCGTGAGGTACTGCGCTAAATCACTCAACTGAATAAATGCTTTAACTTTGTCTATTTAGATTCAAAATTAGTCAAGCGTCTTTAAAACGTACATTTTTTCGCCAGAGTGGGGAAACGTCGTTCCCCGTGAAATAAGATACAGTGAGGGTACGTCCATCCTTGGTAATATAGAATGGGAGTAAGATTGTTCATAATAAGTAATTTTCTTGCGGTTAGAAAATTTTTTTTTTTTTGGTTGATGGAGGTAAATTTTTTTCTTTTACTAGGAAATCGAACGCGCTTTGTGCGCTTCTGTCGAAATGTTTATTATCGATAGGGCCAGGACATTCGCAGTTGTTTAAATGAGCATTCATATGTTTAACCTCAAATTTGAATAAAGAAAAAACGCCAACTTCCTGGCCCTAAATTAAAAATAATTTATCGAAAATTTAATTAATCAATATTTTTACAAATTTAACTCATTAATATTTAACCGTGGCTATGGTAACCGTTGCCAAAGGGGTCACTATAGCAACGAAAAGCGACAACAATGAAAACGTCACATCAACTTTTTAATAAATCATGAAAATGGTTATTTGTATTAATGAATTTTCACCTTGAAATACGAAACTGTGATATTGAGTCAAGTAAAAATATATTGTGTCTTCATTGAAGTAATATTAATTGAACTGATAAATAAATATATCTTAAAGCACTAAATAATAAGTCGTCTTTCATCAGTGAAAAGTGTGTAGAAATCTTTTCTTCAATCAAGATTAAAAATTCAAAAAAATTTTCAGTCAAGAATTTATTTTTTCTATGTGCAATATTTAAGATTTAAAAATTTTATGCCGATTGTTTCATAATCTAATACATTTTTTTCAAGAGAAGTTGTTTTCTTTTTACCTTATGAATTTAATTATACTTAAAACATACAAAATTATAGAATACTTGAATTCTACTATTAAATTATATAAGCTTATTGCACAGATATATAAGTTTTCCTCTTTGACATCAAAGAGGATGTGTTTAAAGCAATAAAATTTGTCTTAGATCTATGAAGATTTCATAAGTGGAATCTTGATACACACATAGAACGTTCTGTTTAAGGTATGTGAAGCCAAGGAATATTTGTTTGTTATCTTGGTACATTTTTCGTGTTATATATTTTGCAGTCTCCCGGGTAGAAGTGAAACTGGGCATATCCGGCCTCCGACCACTAACTTACTGATTTGTACTAGAATTCTATATAGGGTCTTAAAAGAAACTTCTTGAATTCATCTATACTCTTGAAAGTTTTCAACGAATTTTTTGTGCTTAGAAAAGAAAAAAGATTGGTTACGGTTAAAAAATAAATAAATAAATAGATGAGTTATTTACCTAATTTGATCAAAAAGAATCAATAATTTTAAAAAAGATAAGTGATAAATGATAAATCAATATCACATTTATTATTAGGGATTGATTAGAAATACAAAACGCAGGCTTTGAAATTTTTATTCAATGAAAATTCATCTGTTTGGTTGCTTGAATGCTTGACTTAGGTGTTAATAGAATCTCTATCCACTGAGCCAAATCCACGTTAATGAAAAAGCAATGTTTTATTTGATTAATATATAGATGTTCCAAATAAAACATAAAATTTACATCTTTCCAACCAATACAGTTAGTGTGTGACGACTACTATATATCAAAGCAAGTTTATAAAAAACAATCGCTGATATGGAGTTGATCAAATCAGAAGGTAAAACTTTCATAAATGAAATATATGCTGCCCGCAGTTAATTTTTAGCCCTAAGTCTAGGAAAAAATTACTGCAACAGCTATATCTATAAATATCACTCTTCTCGCCTTGCAAGATTATATGTGAGTTGAATCTTAAATTAAATATTTTAGCTTCAAGCAAGAAGGATATCTATTTTCTAAAAAGTAGTGAAAAAGTGAAAATCAATTAAACTTAGTCTATAAAGCGAAGAAGAATTTGATATTTCAATTTACTTAGTCTGATGGCCCAAGGGCTCTCTTTTATTAATAACTAAGACCTTTTTTATAAACGTTTCCATTTGAAAAAAAAAAAAAAATGAAGTGGATTCTTCGAAATGAACAAATCGTTGGACTTTAGAAGATGTTATATATATAATGTATACATTTTAACATAGAAAATTTTGATTATGTTGCTTACATCTTATTCTTTTATTTAAATCTTTATCGATTAACATCAAGAATCTGATCCGATTAAAATCTAGTATGTAATAAATATTATAATTAAACCTTTTCAATTACGTCGAATAAATGAGTTATGTAGTTATAACTAATAATAAGTAGTACACATACAGTTGTAAAACAGCGCATATAAGACCGAGTTAAAACCCGAATATCTACTGTTTATTTACTGTTTAAATTTTAAAGAGTACTTTTTGTAGTAGAGGATATAAAATCATTTGTAACAGTTAAATTTTGACAAAATACAATACCATTATTTGCATTAATACTGCATGCAGTACTCCCTAAAATTGAATTAGTGAAAATTCGTCAAATAAGTGAATATTCACTTAACTTAAGTGCCAATCGAGCCACTTTTTCAAGTCAGTGGCTCGGTTCTCACTTAAATAAGTGAATATTCACTTATTCATGTTTAGAGAGTAGTAAGTTAATAAGACAAAAAATAAAACCATAGAATTAAGGATGACGTGAAGAAAATGATGTGGTTAGGAAAGAAGTGTCCTTCAAGTGTTTATGCAAGTCAGGAGTCGAACCCTTAGAAAAACACTGTCAAAATTGAATCCCTTGAGTGTGAAATGCTCGACCTTTTTTTTATTAGTTTTCTCTTTTTCAGACTTCAGGCTATCTATTAGCCATATATTTCGGTATATTTTGCTATTTATACGTATATTCCACTTCTTTGTGAAACGCTTGTCCAATTCTGGGTTAGAATTATAATTACTTCATGGCTTACGATACGAGTACAATATCTGATATATAATTCTATAAAAATATTTAACTTTATTGCTATAATAGTTACTTCTAGATTTATGCACAAAAATGTTTATTTCTTCTTTTTTTTTTTCTTACAGAAATATTCTTTAGGTAAAAATTTAAGTAACATGATATTTGATTTTTTGGACAAATCACCGAACCAATACTTGGACAGAAATGATAATTAATTAAAATAGCCACGTAAAATATTAATGAAATAAATAGATCACATATATATCCAAAAAATAACGACATTCTAAAGAAGATAAATCACAAATTAAATACTTTTGTTTGATATATAATTTTAAATAAAAATAAAAAATATTAGCACACATATAATCCACAAATACATCACAATATCGACTAAAAAAATTACAAAATACCAGAATCTTTTCTCGCAACATACTCCTATTCGACGTATACATCTTTATAAGATCCGAAGAGGTTAGAAATAACTGCAGGGCGTAGTTTTTACATTTTCATACTATGAACTGTAATGGGCGTTACTAATTCTTGCAAATAATCCCCTTTAAAAGAATTTGATTGCTAACTTAAACGGGATGGGCGTGGTTTAACAGGCGATCTCAGCCAATGGTGAACGTCATCCCCACTGAATAGGGGGCGTATCCCAGGATTTTCCAAATTTTTCCTTGAGTTACTTCTCAACGTACCACCTCCAAACTGGGTGAGTGATCCTGAAACACAACTGAAGTGTTGGTTAGAGAAATGAAGGAGGCTCTGCTCGCGCATCTTCTTTACTCTACTGGCAAGCAACATTAGCTAAGAGAAGAAAGAGGCAACTCAACATTCTACGTTTCTGCCACGAGCAACGACGAGCCCCCAGTGTGTTTTTACTCGGGGCTGAGTAAACGAGACGCTTGTTGTGTATCATAATATACCCGTAACGCCTGCTGTACCTACTGACTATAACCCGTTTCTTCCGTCCACTTAAACGCGAAAAATCTATTTCTTTCTATTCGTCCAAAAAAAAAAAAAAAAAGAAAAAAACCGCTCCTCCTTTGAATCTTGTTATATACTGTGAACTGTGGTGATGATGTGAATCAAGATAATTTTAATTAAACATTTATCATTGTGTATTAATATGACAGTGAGATAAAAATTTTAACAAAATTTTAGTGACAAGTGAGTGAAGTTTGAGTTATCTTTTGGTTTATATGAACAGCAATACAATGCATACGTTATTTGGTGAACAAAATGCTTATTATAGGCACGCAACCAGTGTTCCAGTTGGTATGGGTACTTCATCATATCCTGGAGTTGGTGGAGCACCGGCATATTATGAACAATATCGTTATGGTGGTTATACAGCAGCTGGTTATCCCGTCGCTGGAATAAGTCAGCAACACATGCATCATCCGGCAAAAGATATGGTGAAACCACCCTACTCGTATATAGCGCTGATAGCTATGGCAATACAAAATGCACCGGATAAAAAAATAACTTTAAATGGAATTTATCAATTCATTATGGAACGTTTTCCTTACTACCGTGAAAACAAGCAAGGCTGGCAAAATTCAATTAGGCATAACTTGAGTCTTAATGAATGTTTTGTAAAGGTTCCACGAGATGATAAAAAACCAGGAAAAGGAAGTTACTGGTCGTTGGATCCCGATAGCTATAATATGTTTGACAACGGATCTTATTTAAGAAGAAGAAGGAGGTTTAAGAAAAAAGATGCCCTAAAAGAAAAAGAAGAAGCACTGAAACGGCAAGGAATAGTATTAGATAAACGAGAAGATGTTAAATCTAACCATAACATAGATTCAACTAAAAAGCTATCATCGTCAGAATGTAAGCAGCCAAAACGAGAGCCATTAAACGACCCACCTCATTGCATGAGTAATAATAGTTCTGTTGCTAAATATGGTGGTTTACAGGATAGTAAAGCAAATACTACAACTGCAAGCGTTATTCAGACAAGTTTAGGGCATGGATCTGGACTTCAAATTCAACAGCCGCATCAGGTTCACCAGGAAGTTGCAGTAACTGATGTAAATATAGGTTTAGATCCTGCAAGCTTCAGTGTTGATGCGTTGATGACAACCAGAGAAAATAGCGCTATAATGAATCGTGATCATCATTCACATCATTCTCATTCAATTCAACATTCTCATGGGCATTCTGGCCTTTCGCATTCATCTATGATGACCTCATCTCGAGATCCTAATACTACCGTCGGTACCAGAGATCTTACAGCAGTGGTAACTACTACGAGTACAACAACCGCCGCTGCAGTAGCTATGATGGCTTCCACCGGATACAGCCATGTTACGCCATCGAGAGGTCATTCTAGTCCATCTGCAACAATGTACTCTCCATATTGTCCGAGCTCATCGGGATATATTATGGATCATACCGATTACAATGCTACTGTAACTAGAAATCATAATCCTCCACATTCCCAATGGTATCAAGAGGCTGCTAGTCCCGATTCCGCAACTATTTATCAGGATACGCAATCGCCGAGCTGTCAATTATACAGGTAAATAACACCATTGAGTTGAAATGAACAATTTTAGATGTAAATATAGAAAATATCTATCTTATTGCGTATAAGCAGTACTATTTAAATGCTTAAATCAACTCAACGAAAATATTTTTTGGGTTGATTTCAGATCGAGTCCACCTACTCCCTTATCTTCGAGTGCGGCTCCATCTCCACCACTGTATCACAGTCATAGATATTATCAGGATTGTAATGCAGTTAATACCAGTGGAAATCTTCCAATAACGTTACATAAGTACTGAGATTATCGATCAAGGTCTCAAAGAGACCTTGCATCATCAATAAGTGGCAATCATCAACAGAAACATGAAGATTATGATCCATATTTAGTTTACATTAAGCAAGAATGGATTTCACCTGATGAACTTCCAAAAGAATGGCACTGATAAATTAAATGTGACTTAATGTTAAATATATACATAAAAAAACATATAAATATATATTTGCGCTTAACATTGTGGAATAAAGTAATTAATATAATTTAAAGGTCAAGTTTGATACGACAACTGTGTAAACTGAAGTTTTTGAAGGCTTGCATTAATATACGAGTTTTTTGACCTAAGTCAAGAAGTACTTTTGAATATGATATTATACTGACATTGAATCAGATGCTCTTACTTTTTCCGGTTTACAACCTTATCTTCATCATATCGATGATCTTGCTTAATTTTTTTTATATTATACTTGTCGCGTATAATACATAACTGTGTAAATATAGGATGACATGCCACTAAATAAATCAGCTTGACATTTTTTTAAATTTTTGTTTACCAATCGTCTGTCTCGATATTATGAAGAATCGGATAAGGAAAGAAATGCGTTTAATAAAGGACGAATCAAAGTCATTCCTTTATCAATTGTTATAGAGTTTTTATTTGACTTTTACGAATAATTTATTTATCTAGAAACTAAATATAAATAATGCATTTAATTTGTATATTTATAGTTATCATTTTTGTTCAATTTATTTAACGAAAATGTCTATATAAACAATGTTCATAAAAAAAAAAACTGAGATATATTTATTAATAATCTACGTAAGATAATATTGAAATTAAATTCAAAATAATGTGAATATAAATAAATTATAAATTAAAAATTAAGAAGGGTTCTAATTTATGTAGTTAAAAAAAGTGAAATATTGTGGACATAAAGGATTGTAGTTAGCTAAACAGTAACGAATTATCATGTTCGTTTTTGCGTGTAGTGATGTTTAATAGTTTGTATATTATAAATAAATATGAAATACGTATGAAGAGATATTACGATGATAATTATTATATTAAGAAATTAGTAAGGAAATTTAAGCACACATTGACGTCTCGCAAATCGTGAGACTGATGATTATTATTATTATTATTTTATAATTATACATACATATATGTATATATTATATATACATATATACATGTATTTAAAATATTTCACATAATACTAATGTGAATATTCCAAATAAAAATTAAATTAAAAGGAAAAATGTGTTCATTTCATTGTATAAATACAATCAAAAATATTAATTAATTTTTACTATTTATTTATTTTAGAGAATTTTAAATTATATATAAATACTCTCTCACTTGTAAAAATCTTTATTCATCAATATTTAAATATATAATAAAAATGGGAAAAGTATTAACTGTAATATTAATAGATTTTCATAATATATTTATCGACATAATTCGGTGGATAAAAATATATTTCAAGTAAAAAATATAAACTAATATCAAATCACTGAAAAATATTATCTATAGGAATTATTTAAAAAGTAAAGTTGTTAGAAAAATTCAAAAGAAAAAAAGAACCTTTTACTAAATCTTTTAGATTTCTGATTGCCAATGAGAGGGAGGTTGAGTAGTATTTGAAGGGTCAAAAATTACTTGGGTGGTCGTATCGGGTTTGAATCCTCCGCTCTTAAAACTACCCGAGGCTGAGATTTAACTACATCTGCTTTTAAAACACGTGCTCTGGATAAACTGCAAGAACCCTCGTCAGGTTTACTGTTGTCGATGAAGCTGGACACTTGGTTAGTTGTATAAGAAATATAGTGTGTATATATCTAATAGTTTGAATAACTTCGATCAATCCTGTAAGCTTTTGTGTACAAAGTACTTAACATTCCATTTTCTAGCTATTTTCAAATATTTTTCTTTCTTAATTTATTACGTAAATAGATTTATGATTTATAGTTTTATAATGGTTTAAGTATATACATTGAATGTTTCAAAACAATTGGCATTTTTCTCCTGTGTAAATATTTTAGATCTTATTATTTGAAATGAATGAATATTGCGCATGGATAAAGAAATGTTAATTTTTGGCTACAATTAAAGTTCAATCATAACAATTAATTATGAATAAATTTAAAAAATTTCAAATCAATCACTTATTTAAATTAAATCGAATCACAGTTGGAATAAACAGAATGTGTTTAATTATATGGAAAAAAATTGATCTCGAAACTGATTCGTTTTGTTTAACTTTTCAAAATTAATCTTTTATTATAAGAAGCTAATAAAAAAAAATTTTGTTGCAATTGAGTAGTATCTTCTTGAATTAAAAAAAAAAAATTAAAAAAAAAATTGCTTTTACAATGATTTTTATATCAAATATCGTGTACTATTAACAGAAACACAATTTTTCATTCCATAAGGTAAAAGACCCCATTAGTAGCACCTCTAAGCCTCTATTAGTGGCACTTTTTTTTTCAATGAAAAAATGTTCTACTTGGAATAAAAATTAAAAATTTTTTCGATCTAAAGGTCTTAAAGATTAGAAATATTATATTCATAATAGAAACTATAATGATTTCATTAATTGAATAAGTACCAAAATCAAATAAAGTGTCAGTAATGGGATCCCCGCCACTAATAGGATTTTTTACCCTATGCTCTTGATAAGTAGACAAAACTTTTTATTTGATCTTGATTTTCAATATTTTGTTAAATAATTTTAGATTAATTATAAAATTATTAGTTATCTTATCAAAAATTTTTGCTGTTTACTATCTGTATAGCTTCTTGAGTGAATAAATAAATTTTTTTACGTTTATTTGTAAAATGGAGTGTATTCTTATCCGCACATCGCAGTACCTACTCATTGTAAGTTTTTATTCTAAATTTGCATGTAGAAAAAATAACGTAGAACATTTAAATTGATATAAAATAATATAGAACGTTAATTCATTAAAAAATTATTTCACTTCAACTAATTATAACATAAAATTACTAAATATAAAATAAAAAATATGCAACTGGAGTTTCGGAGACTAACATTCTATACTATATATTATTAACATCAATAGATAATAATAATAATTTATCTGTCGGTCACAAGACAGTCATGACGTTGCAACGCTGTTGTCCTATTGCTGTAACAGGATTTTGTCCTGTTATTCTCGCAAGAAAAATGCTGTTGCCGCAACTATTTATTTTTTCCCTCGTACTTCACTTTTGAATCATGTATTTATAAAATCAAACTCACCGCTTGAATTGATAATTGAATTAGTATAGTTATCAAAAACTATGTGTTAAAAATTGCTTCGAGCATATAATAAGACAGCGGGAAGCTCCAAGATGCTTTGCATACCCGAGACAAAGAACGTTCGTTGTTAGACCTCAAAAAGCAATTATATGGGGTTTGTTTCAGTTGAATCTCACTAACTCATTATTTAGATCTCATTAATAGCTGGATAACCCTAAAGGCTGCTAAGTAATCTTTTCTTAATCATGCTTGGTGGCAAAGGATCTAGCAAAATAATCTATGTTTTATAGAATTCATTGTAAAAATCCGAATCTATAGATACACATTATTCTTTATACTAAAATTTAAGCTAATAATAAATTAATGATTATTAATGAAAAGCTCTATAATTTATTAAATAAATCTCTTCTTAAATACTTTCAACTTCTCAATGGAAGGTTGAAAAAAGTTAACTTATTTTTGATCATAGAAGACATTGTGACAAAAAAAGAACTTTACTCACATAATTCATACTCATATTCTTCTATCTATCTAAAAGTCAATATTTTCTTAACTAAACTTCTTTTTTTTTTTTTTTTTTTTCATTTTGATCCGGACCATTAATTTATTTCTAAAAACTTTAAGTTTTAAGATCAGTTTTAAATATTATTATAAAATATTTAAAACTGATATAATTCTAATAATTTATCTTTGAAATTCTATAAACAAGAAAAATATATATTATATAAAGTCTTATAGCTTTCCCACGAAGCATGACTTCCGTTAATACTCAAGAACTTGACGACAGGGAGGACGCAGTAGTAATAAGTCGGACGAGAAAAGACCAACTGTTTATTTTACTAAGCTTGCTCCTTTTCTGTTACCATTATTTATAAAAAATTAATTGCCACAACTAATGGTCTCATAGTCTCCAAGAATTTATGATGAAAATAGAGTTATCCAAATTCAAAAAATAAATAGTTAAATATTTGTATATTTTTTTACTCACATACAAATAGATTTGAAAAGAAATATCGTAATATTTAACATAAAATCATCTAGGTGATGAACAGTTTAGTTTTAAATTCTTGTAGCTGATTCAACAATAAATCGTCATTTACGAGAGAGTCCCAAAAATTGTAGCCTGTTATGACAAATGATCGATGATATGTGTAGTTCGCGCAAACGGGACTTAAAGCGCGTGTCAGTTCTAGTCATATCACGACGTGAAGTAATATTTGTCCTAAGCTCAAGCTTATTACTAAGCATGCCAGGTTGCATGAGGCATTAGTATTAGGGTGTTTTATTACAAACGACTTTTTTTTTTTCGCTAACACTTAAAATATTGTTTAAAAAATCGTAGAACAATCCCTTAAAATTTGAGCCCTTAATTTTTATTTCTAATCCTTTTTCCATCATATTGAATTTGAAAGCATGTATATCAAGTCGCTTTCTAATTAAATTTTTATGTATAACTTTGCCAGGTTTTATAAGCTATAATATTGATAGAAACTATTACTTGTAGTGAATTTAACGTTCTTTCAAAAACTTTTTGAATACTTTATTCTATCTAATTCAACTTACATATAAACCGTTTCAGCTCTGAAAGTTATTTTTTCGACTTTTCTCGTATATTTTTGAAAGTATTAAGCAAATATCTCGTCTTACTGAAAAGTGTAGAGAGGAAATTTAATTTTCTACAATATATATAATTCTAAATATATATAAGCATCAGTTGAATATTAACAAAATTTGTATTTTATCAAGCTTCATGCATTTTATCTTCAACTATAGGATTGTTATATGATTTTTCATCATATCGACGGTCTAATTAGTAATTTGTCTAACTCCATATTTTTTAGAGGGTGATTTTTTTAACATTTTAATGTAGTCATAATCGAATTATAAATTATTTGAATGATACAAA